ATAACTCCCATCATTTTTGTTGTGGTAGGGGACGAGATCCCAAAGAAAGACTTGAGTGATATCGTTTTGAGTTGAGGTTCCCAAATGATATCATCTTCCTCTGTCTCTGTCTTCTCCTGATCAATTAGCTCCACTTCCATCCCATTCAATACTGTCAAGATCCTCAACGAAGCATTAGGACATACTCCATTCACCAAATGTTGTCTGCTCCACTTCTCATCACACTTGAAACAAAGTCCCAACCTTTTCTTTTCAGCAATCTGCGCTTCAGTCAACCGCAATGGTTGTTTCAAAGCTCCTTGTTTCTTGTGTTGCTGAGACTCACTAGATTGTGGAGTACTCTTTGGTTTCCAGCCACTGTTGGTGTTGTAACTCGAGTAAGATTTTGTAGGAGCACTGGTATTACTCAAACCCTTTGCTTTCCTCAGTTTAACCTCCTTCTGAACAACACTAAACAGTGAGCTTTCTTCCATCTGATAAGCAGTGGCTATCATATCCGGCAAGTCTACTGGTTTGCACATTGTAACTACTTCACGCATCTCCTCCGTGAGACCGTTCATGAATATACCCTCCTTCTGTTTATCAGATATACCAGTGACTTGTGTTGACAAATCCTCAAACTTATGAATGTACTGAGCCACGGATCCAGTCTGTTGTACAGCGAAAAACGGCTGACTAGGATCACGTAATTTTACTCTACTGAATCTGTCAATCAAACGGTATTTGAAATCCAGCCAATTCATAAACGGTTTCCTCATAATCTCACTGTTGAACCAGCTTAACACATCACCACTCAAGCTAACCGACACCAAATCAATCTTCGCTGCTTCGCCATAACCACCAATTCGGAAAAATCTTTCTGCTAACGCAATCCACCCATACGCATCGTCGCCGTTAAAGATCGGAAGCTCAACACATTTCAACATATCGCGCTGATCGCCCAGAGTATTTTGAACCCTAACCTCCCCCATCCTATTACTACGGCCAGGTTCCAGATCGGAATTTTGTACCTGATTATCGCCGTTCGTCGGAACTTGATTCAGATCTGCGATAGTCGGAGCGGCCGTGTTCCTCGTCAAGAGATTGAAAAGCTCCGTGAATTTGTCCTCTAAACTTGTCATCGAAGCTCGTAACTGCACCGCCGATTCTTGTTGTTTGGCGTAATTCGACGCCACCGTCTGAGATAACGATTCCAACGTCGTAGCTCTCGTCATCTTCGTTCGCGATTGTTCGATCCAGAACGCTCTCACGCACCAATTTGATAAGAACAAAGTAGTATATTGAATACGTTCCGCCCAACCGCCCTCTCTTAGCTTCTACAAACCAGAAGACTAAGCCAAGTTCTTGAATCTCACAAGTCGAGAAACAAGCCAATGATTCTAACTGAATGACCTCTAACTAACTCCTCTCTTTTCTTTATATACAAGACTCGTAAAGACTATATTATTTCTTTATTCTCAAGTCTTCAANGATTCTAACTGAATGACCTCTAACTAACTCCTCTCTTTTCTTTATATACAAGACTCGTAAAGACTATATTATTTCTTTATTCTCAAGTCTTCAACTTGCCAGCTCATCACTTCACTTCAACGTTCTTTTCTCTTCTCAATGCCTTCCTCTCCACTCTGTTTCTTTCTTCTCGAAATATAAACTCTCATAGGCATATCAAAAGTATAGTTTAGTATTACTATTTTATTAGACTTGTAGGACATACATATCTATGGTGGGAATATAGCTTATATGATTCTCTTACCAAAGGGCATAACTCTTATTGAAGATTCCTAGGAAAGTTGGATGGTGGTGTTTTTCTATTCTTTCTATGCAGTGGCATGCTACATGTGAGAGAGAGATATGTTTTCATCAAAGTAGAAGTATAACTCCTTGTACCAATTACTGCAATGATCTCATGTTTGAGTAATCCTACTCGGAATCATTAATTTTTTTGTTTCTTTGATTTAAACTTTCCTTTATCGCTGTCTAAATTACGGAGCCTTCATAAAATTAGTTTGTATTTTTAGTGGATTCTTTAAAGTTTTGGTTGGATCTGCATATGTTTAGCGTTGTATGCGTATGTATTTAGTGTTGTCAATAAGATATAAATGCATGACTTAACATTTTGGTTAGTGGTACAAGAACCAAATTTTTTTTATCTCTTAAGTTGCAATTCTAAATAATGAATGCATGTCTGCTTCTGTGAGTGAGTAAATGTATACATCATGTTTTCATGTTCTTGTATTTTCTTTTATTTGATATTTGAGTTCCTGTTACTGATCTGAAACTTTGATTTCATAAGGCACATGAAAATGATTGGTCGTGTTGATAGCAGATACAATCAGAGACAGTCCCCGCCAGCGCTGGCTTGTGCGATTTCTTTTAATCTTTTTCTTTTTCAAAACACCCTCGTTTCTTCTTCTCTCTCGTTTTTAAAATGAAAATTATGGTCCAAAACCAAAAGCTACCCACTTTTATGAAAGTATAACGAAGCGGGGTGTGAAATTTCAGAAAAGAAGAGAGTTCGCCCTAGAGACGCTCCCAGGCACGATTCCCAAAGCAGCGCCGCAAGCAGTTTTTCTCGACGCCGGCAAGGCCTCTGGCCGCCGGCGTCGGGTCGTCCACTCCGTCTCGTGCTCGTCTCTGTTCTCTCTTTACTGTAGCATCGTCTTCAACATCTGGTATTGTGTATTGGTCGTCTCCTACGACTCTGTTTCACTGGCCTCTCTCACAACCACCTCCCCTACTCCTCCCCAGATCGCCGCCTCTCCTAATTCCCGACGGGTCTCCGCCTCCTCCCATGTTCATCTCCTCGTCACAGCTCACTTCCTCAGAACGAGCAGAAGCGTCAAAATTCCTCACACCAGATCTGCTTGCCTCGCTGTACCTGCGGTGTCAACGCTTGGTGGTCAGCCTCAGCCTCCTCTGCTCCGCCTCTCCCCCTCACCAGAACTCGCCAGATCCGGACATCTAGTTTCCTCTTCGTCAAGACTTTCCGCCGCCTCAACACATCAAGCTCTCGAACCGTTGGTAAAGTATCCTAACCGACTGTGTAATCCTGATAGTTCTCTTGACATGGGCTGTCATTGCTTATGGGTGGGCTTGCAGCTTAGCTTAAGTTTCTTTGAGAACCATAGGTCCCGTTACGGTAATATCGGAATCATTTCTCTCAGCCGGGGCTCAGCTCATGTCCCCTCCTTGAATATGGTCAAGAACATCTCGTCTCGAGGCGGTTTTTACAGTCTTTTATCTTCCATATCGTGCTTGTTAGTGTCAAATTCATATATGGAACCAGAGAGGATCAAGATGCTCTTCAATGCATCAGAGATTCACCTAGTCTCTTTGAAGAGAACCGTCCAACAACTTCCTTCGACTTGGTCAAACTTTCTATTTGGTTTAGTGTCAAAGTCACCAATGGAATCGGAGATGAAAAGAGTTTCAACTGTTTCACCATCTCGCTTACCGATCTTTTTGCTACCCGGATCTATTGAGATTCACCTAGTCTCCCGGGGCAACATCGACGGTTGTAGAGCTGTTCTCTTTCGTTTGACGGGTTCGCTAGCCTTAGTCGGCTTCCCACCCCTCTTCCAACCCCTTTCACTAGGGTATTTCAACGTCTTTTTAGACTATTTGAAGCTCTCTCGAGCTGTGGTTTCAAGGATTCAAGTGAAGATCATCCGTGGATTTCTCTACTTTGAGCTAGTCTCTCCTTTTAACACTTCTATCCTTTGTTCTGTCGTTTTCATATTATTGGTGTTCTTCTTACCGTCGAGTATACCTCCGGTTGTAATCGCTGAAACGCTTTAGATTTAAATTAATGAAATTTGTGCACAAAAAAAAAAAAAAAAAAAAACGAAGCGGGGTGTGTTTCTAAAATCATGTATAAATAAATAAATAAAATCATACAAAGTCCAAACAGTATACGGTTGGATGAAAGAAACATAGTACTCTTGAACACTTCTCATGGATAAATTGGTTTACGAGTTTTCCATATCGGTCAGGCGGATGATTAGTAAAATATATGTATCTTTTGGAACATAATTTGGTATTACATTTTTATTGAATATTGAACTTCTAATACTTAGAATAAGGTAGGAAATTCTTCTCATACATTTTGTCATAACTGGTAACATGTTAGTACTTGTTAACTATGTTTGCTTGATTAAAACCAAAACTAGTTGACAAAAAAAAAACTAACTTTAAAATATGCTTATTGAGACATAGTAAGCTAAAAAATATTTAATTTTTGTTTCTTACACGCATCTGTTCTTTCCCTTGTGTTTGGGGCTCCTACGTTGATGCTTAACATGTGAACCTGAGTTGAGCTTACTTGACTGGATCTCAATTACGAGACTAATGTCTGAAAAACCTGAGTTGAGATTATATTCCAAATATTTTCTACTAGTGTTATTTGGGATATCATTAATTATTTATATAAGAATCATATAAGTGAATGATGATTTGCCTCTTTAATTAGGTTCTTTTCTGAATAAGTGATACACTTTGCAGAAAAGAGAGAGACCCACTTAGCAGCAGTGCCCATTACATCTTCTTTTATTTTTTTTGTAAAATTTGAGAAAGAAAAGAATATAAGGCAAAGCTGAGTGTTTTGATACTGCTTTGTCAACACATGCATTCCACTTTACACTACAAAATCCACTTTAGACCCTAAAAACCCCTCAAATTTTGCCCCTCTCACAAGAAAAGCATACACATATCCTCCTCTTCCTCATATATCTGAAGACCTTTCTCTCCATCTTTCTTTACACCTGCTCCCTTGATCTCTCTCTCTCTCTCTCTTTCTCTTTCTCTCTTACCTGCTCTTAGGTTTAAGACTTAGCCCCACCTTCAATATAGAAACAGTGAATAGACCCTTTTCTTTGGGTGCTTTCATTTTCTATGTTAAATGGAACAAAGACAAGAACCTCGAAACCTTCACCGTAGACCTCTCACTTCTCAGTACTAGTACTATTCCCTACCTTGTCTTCCATTAAGGTATTTTTGTCACCATGAGAGCTGGAGGCTGCATGGTGGAGCAAGCCCTCACGCCTGAGGCTGCAAACGTGGTGAAACAAGCCGTGGTCTTGGCTAAAAGGAGAGGACATGCTCAGGTCACACCTCTCCATGTGGCTAGCACCATGCTCTCTGCTCCCACTGGTTTACTTAGAACAGCTTGTCTCCAATCTCACACGCACCCTCTTCAATGCAGATCCCTAGAGCTCTGCTTCAACGTGGCTCTAAACCGCCTCCCAACCTCCACAGGGAGTCCTACGTTAGGGGTCCCAGCTTCCCCTTTCCCTTCTATCTCTAACGCTCTCGGTGCAGCTTTCAAACGCGCACAGGTTTACCAGAGACGTGGATCAGTCGAGAGACAGCAGCAACCGATTATAGCAGTCAAGATTGAAGTGGAGCAGCTCATAATATCCATACTCGATGATCCTAGCGTGAGTAGAGTGATGAGAGAGGCTGGTTTCTCGAGTCCTCAAGTCAAAAACAAGGTCGAGCAAGCTGTTTCTTTAGAGGTTTGCTCCAAAACAACTTTTCCGAGTAAACTCATGTTAACTCCAGCTAGTAACGAGGATGTCATGAACGTTATAGACAGCCTAGCCGACAAAAAGAGAAGAAACTTCGTTATCGTGGGAGAGTGTTTAGCCACTGTTGATAAAGTTGTGAGAGCCGTAATGGAGAAAGTTGACAAGAAAGACGTGCCTGAAGCTTTAAAAGACGTGAAGTTTATAACATTTTTGATTTCATCGTTAGGACAGTTAAGTAGATTCGAGGTGGACCGTAAGCTAGAGGAGTTGAAGACACTCGTGAAGAGTTGTGTCGGAAAAGGAGTGATTCTAAATCTTGGAGACCTGAACTGGTTTCTAGAGTCTAGAACAAGTAATAGCAACAACTACTGTGTTGTGGAGCATGTGATTAGGGAGATTGGGAAGCTAGCTTGTGGATTGGTTATGGGACATCATGGAAGGTTTTGGTTAATGTGTCTTGCGACTTCAGAGACTTACGTTAGATGCAAGTCTGGTGAACCCTCTCTTGAGTCCCTCTGGTGTCTCACAACTCTCAATATTCCGACAATCCGTTTGAGTCTTGTCGCCGAGAGGTAAAGTCTTTCTCTTCTCAACTATTTTGTCCTTTTCAAAAAAGACAATTTACCTATAGTGTTTTTGCTTTATTTTGTATTTTTTCCTATTATTTATTAATATAAAATTTTATCTGAGTTCTTGTGAGAAATACTAAAGAAAGGGTGGAGAAAACATGTCACTTCATTTCGGTTTTAGATTAAAGATTAAAATCAAGTTTAACACTCCTTAACTAATCACCATGCAGCGAGCTTGACGTCAAGGAATCAGAGAATTTACCTCTACAACTGCATGGATTAGAGAAGAAGCTCAATATATGTGAGAAATGTTCTGTCAAGTTTGAAGCTGAAGCTCGGTTCTTGCAATGCAGCAATAGCAATGTAACCTCTCCAGGTTTACCGGCGTGGCTTCAACAATACAAGGAGAATCAAAATAGTCACAATGTGAGTTCTATAACACCAAATCAAACTCTCATTTTCTTGGGGTCTATGTTTGACTCTTGATCACTTGGCAGGACTCAGATTCTATAAAAGAACTTGTGGTTAAGTGGAGCACAATTTGTGATTCAATGCACAAGGGACCATTTCTAGAAACACTCACACTCTCTTCCCCTTCAAGTGCTCTCCACCATCTTAAAACACTATGTGATGCCTTGCATAGCAAGGTCCCAAGGCAGAAGGATATAATCTCAGAGATAGCAAAAACAGTCTTAAAATGCAGGTCAGGATCAAGTAGGAGAAAGATCAACGGAAAAGATGATACAAGGGAAGATACATGGATGGTCTTTGAAGGTCTTGATGTGGAAGCTAAAGAGAAGATCGCTAAAGAGTTAGCTAAACTCGTGTTCGGATCTCAAGACAGCTTTGTCTCAATCTGTTTGAGCAGTTTCTCATCGAAAGGTGTAAGGAACAAGAGGTCTAGAGATGAAAATAACTGGAGGTACATTGAGACATTCTCTGAAGCTGTTTCGTTTGATCCAAAGAGAGTGTTCTTGGTGGAAGATATAGAGCATTCTGATTATTTGTCTCAAATGGGTTTCAAGAGAGCCATTGAGAGAGGAAGAGTTTGTAACTCGAGAGGTGAAGAAGCATCTCTTAGAGATGCGATTGTGATCTTGAGCTGTGAAAGATTCAGCTCAAGATCAAGAGCTTGTTCTCCTCCAGTTAATCAGAAATCGGAGGGTTCAGATCGAACTGAGGACAAGAACGTTGCTACTTGCGTGGCACTCGACCTTAACGTATCTCTTGACGATGATTTTTGTGATGAGATTGGCTTGCTCGAAGCTGTGGATGCACGGTTTCACTTTGAGTGTTTATCAACATGACGATCATGCATGTGCATGCAACGTAGCCCAGTTTATGAACATGATCATTTCGATTAGATTACATCATGACTTCATTGTTTCCTTAAGCAATATCTCTTCCATTGGGACAATACTTGGGATTAAACGTGTAGTTCTAGAACTGTTTTCTTTACTTGGCTAGGAACTTTCTAAAAGGATATGGTCTGGGAAGCTGGAGAATTTCTTTCATCATTTTTTCTGTCCAATGTATAATTATCATATTGTGGTTAAATGATAATTTATGCTTCACAAGCAAATAGGCAAATACCTTGACAAAGAAAACAAGGTTTAGTCTAAGAAATAATATATAATATCAATTGTTAGTAATATGGTTGGTAAGTTGGTAACTGGATTTTGTAACTTAAGGTTCAATTGCATATATTTCTACAGTCAACGAAAAGATCACATTCGGAATGGAAACTAGACCAACCATAATTAACCAACAATATTGATTCCTTTAGAATCAAAGACAACTGATATTACAGATCTCCACAAACTTTTTTGCCTCTCTTTTATTTCTTCTTTTCTTTTATATTTTTCCAAGGAGAAAGGGAGAAGCCACCACCTTAATCTTAAACTGCTTTTCTCTATTTCTCTTTTTCCCTTTTACGAGTTTCGTTTTCTTTTAAATTTTACAAGTTTTGGGTAGCTCTATGTACATCTTTTAGATCGAGGATTAGAATATCTACTGAACACTATTGTGAATGAATCTCTTTTCACAAAGAAGGAAATGTTGCGTATGATATCGAAAGAAGGGATATTCTAAAACAAATTCATTTATAACATGTATCGAAACGATTTGTTTATCATATTGGATATTAGCATGACATTTGGATGCACGTGAATACTTATCCATGTCCGATGTAAATCATGTAAATTTTTTTTTTTTGAAATGTCGATAACCATGTATTGCATTAATGTTCTAATGTTTATTTATATAGCAACATAAAGAACAGAACACCGCATTTACATACAAGAACAAATCTATGACGACATCAACAAGTATCATTATAAGTAATAGATATGATCATTGTTTTTGATTAAAAAACATTAAATGGATATATGATGTTGATCTAATATTAAATAAATTCATGTTGAGAGAAGTTTATAATGTATGTGACTGGGTATCAAATTGTACCTGATGTTTTTGATAATTTGTCCACCTTTATATTAATCTTTCGTGTTTACCAAAATTCAAGGTCTTTTAGTTGGTTATATGTATTTACAATGCTTTAATATATTTTTTTTGATAAATGCTTTAATATATTTTTTTTGATAAATGCTTTAATATTTGGAATTTAACGTAATCATACTAAACCATGATTCTTCTTTTTAAACCTTACCTTCTGATATGCATTATGACTACCAAACAATTAAAAGTAACAATAGAAATATAATAGTCCACATATGACTAGCAAAACCTTTTAATTTACTAACCCACTATTTATAGTCCACTCCTAAGAAGGAACCTGGTATATTAAGATATATTGGTAAATGACTAAATGATAACATTTCATGATTATGTGAATCATACGACTTGAAGGAAACACCCATGTGCACACACAACAAAGATATCCACGTTAATATATCTGCATATTAGCTAAATGAATATGATATGTATGCGCATGTGTGTAAATCTATGCATGGATGGAATCTAAAGTTTATCCTCAAAAGCAGGGAGGGAGATAAAGTTAAGCATGATACTGGAAAGGTATGTAGTATGTTTATTTACTAGAATTCTAGAAAGTGGGTGAACCTTTTAAAGCACAAGAAAAGAAAAGCTAAATTCTACCTCTCTGCTTTTGGAGTTTTAAGCTTTTAGAGACGTAAACTTTTATTTCAACATAATTCACTTTTTGTCTTTAAAAAAGCAGTAAAACACACTACCTTTTCTCCTCTTGGTAGCTTTTGTGTAAGAAAAAGGAGAGAGTACAACTGCACAAGTCGTTTGTTAGAATCGCAATACATGAATCCAACTAATTGTAGCTTAGTTTTATTGACCGGGAGTTGATGGCGTAAAAGAACTTTAGGCCACATGGCCCAAGTCCATATCTGTTGATGACAGCATCAGGAGGTTTTAGCAGGTTTCTCATGATGAAAAGAAAAAAAAATAATTTTGTTGTGAAAAAATCAATAGAATCTTTTATCAATTCTAATGGCCTAACAACTCGTACACACATTTCGAGTTAATTTGCCTAAATCATAAATGAAGAATTTGAATAATGTAATGTTTGTTATTCCAATCAAAAACCATAAATATATATAGATAGAAAACAAGAACTTAAACTGAATGTCTTTGTTTTGTTTTTTAACAACGAACGGCTAATTGAATGTCTTTTTATATGTAATGTTGGTATGAAATTCATATATGTACATATTGGTGTACCCTGTACATTTCATTCAAAATTAGTTTTTTAATTCTTGAATTTAAAATATAAACTTAAAATTATAACATAATCTCGTAGCTATAAGCAAGCAAGCGACACAACTATAAAGCGCAACAATCTATTACATGAGACAGCAAAATAAACAACACAATAACAACTATATCGACCAATTGAGTATCAATCTGAATAACATATCAATATCAAAGCCAATGGTAATAGTGATATCTGATTGATGTTACTGGTTGCTACCGCTGACATCTGACTATATAGCTGGCCGGCGCCTATGTACATAAAACAACAATTGATGTAATCATGAACCATAACAATTGGCTAAAATGACCATTTAACATGAAGATAGTCAACAATTATTTGGGCTTTTTAATAATCAAATGGTCTAAGGTAAAGAATCACATAGTCATTGAACTTGATTGATCTCTCCTAATTCACGAGCAATTAGAGCATCACCATTAGAGATACTCTTACATACATATATAGCATATGCGTTGTAAGTTACATATATTAAGATAACATCTTAAATTTTGATTATAAATACATTATTTTGTGATTAATTATTTCTCATAATTTTTAGTCTAACCAAATTCAATAAACAAAGTTAATTTCTTCAATAAACAACGTTAACTTTTACCATTATTACCTAATAAGATGCATTGAAATGTAAAAATGTATCTTTAAAACATTTTATAACATTATATTTATTACTTTGAAACAAAGAGAGTATACTATATAAGCTTTTGGTAGCAAAAATCATAATATTGAAAAAAATAGAGTTGCATTGTAAATTCTATAGAGAACTCAAAAAAAAAGAAATCCAAAAATTTAGTTTAGTTTTCAAGAGAATGTACAATCATAAAAAGAGAATAGCAAATCATAAATCAAGACTCCACTATGCCTGTACAATACATATGACTAGATATATACATTTTATTTCACCGTAAATGAAACAAAAACCAAAAAGAATATCAAAATTCTGATTTGGTATTTAATAGACTTACAATCACAGAAAAGAGAATAATGAAATTGAGAGTTTTCATCATCATAGAATCCAATAATGATAAAATTTAAAAATAGTTATGTTAGAAAAATATGAGAACAAACAAACAACATTGTGGTAACTCTTCTCTTGTTCAATGTGGTGCAATTATCAGTGAAATTCAGTTTTTCAATGTTCAATGCAATCTTTACAACAATATGAGTTTGATTTGATGTGTGTCTCTTTATATCTTTACGAGTCTTTTCAATGTCAATGTTTCGAAGATATATAAGAGAGGTGTTGATATTCTATTGTTGATGACATATCTATATTTATTAGAGTTAACATATATTATATGAATCAAGAAAAAATCAAGAAAACCCAATTATCATTTCTTAGTTTTGTTTTAGTTAAATGATGTTTAATGATTGTTAACGTTATACTTGCATTATTATCAATAGTGGAAGAAAATGAACCTATAGTTATTGATGAAACTAATATTTTCTGTTAATTATAAGACCAAAGGATCAACTCCCAGCCGTTGGACTTGGTAAAGAGCATTTGGCTCTAAATCCTCTATCGAGTAACATTCTAAGCTATAACGCTTATAAGGATACTAGTAATTCTTCTATTTCCAATGGTTGAAGATCATATGTGCGATTTGCATGACTTGATAAATGAGGATATGTGGCATAACAAGTGGGATTCTCTTTAGAAAGTACATGCAATCCACTCCAATGGGGTTATCCATCACGTGCTCTTATAGATCTCATGTATATCCACTCCAAGGGGGTTATCCATAAGTACTTAAGTATTAAGGATATATATGTTTTCCAATAACATGGAAGCTTGTTGCAAGGATTGGAAATTCACCACTCGTAATGACTTGTCTTGGTAAACATAAAGAAAATACAAAATGGCAGCCATAAAGCCAAACACCTTAAAATACCAATTCATACAGTTGGGTCCAATAACTGGCGAGGCCCGAGAAGACCCATAACCAGGATAGAATGACAAGTTTGACTTGGTCAAAATCAACGGAGCCAAGATTCATAGGAGGATCGAAGGAGAGGACTATATAAAAAAAGATGCCAAGAGAGGAGGCATGCATTCTAACCCTAAAAAAACTATACATTTAACCTCGACCTCACACTCTCTATACTTTTGTCTTAGATCTTAGTCATTGTCATTTCATTCACTGTAAACCTTCATTGTATTTCCATCAGTTATCATTAGTAAAGTCTACTTTTTTCAACTAAAATCTGATTACATCGTTTGTAGCATGAAGATATCATTGTACATGCTATTTTCTTTTCATAATTTTTACAAACAATCACTATCAAATAATTAGTATGAGTTTTAGGATCCACACACACATCAATCGAAAACCTAAATTTCCCAAAATTCACATGATCTTGTGGTAACAGATTTGATTGGAAAGAAAGAAAAAAAAAACTGATCGGATCACAAGAATTTGAATATATATATATATATATATATATATATATATATATATATATAGATATTTCCTCTAGTTAATAAGAAATTTAACTCACTAAATACTTTTACACTAGAAAACGCTTACAGCTTTTGTTGACAGGTTG